GTTTTCACAAGAGCGTCAGCTGCGCAAGCCGCGCCGCAGTTCCCTTCACAATGTCACGCAGTGTATTTACACTTGCGTGCAAAAGTAAACACTGATACGTTTTGCGTCGCCTTAAATTAACGCTTGGTATCCGCATATAAGTATATAAGTACCTATATGTATATATTTTGACAGCTCCAAACGTTAGAAACTTTTTTTGCGTTTATTTTAATATATGTACAAATTATTTTGCGTTTTTTTTTATTGCCTAGATGTGTGGACGAGCTCACAGCCCACCTGGTGTTAAGTGGTTACTGGAACCCATAGACATCTACAACGTAAATGCGCCACACACCTTGAGATATAAGTTCTAAGGTCTCAGTATAGTTACAACGGCTGCCCCACCCTTCAAACCGAAACGCATTACTGCTTCACGGCAGAAATAGGCGGGGCGGTGGCANTTTTTATTGCCTAGATGTGTGGACGAGCTCACAGCCCACCTGGTGTTAAGTGGTTACTGGAACCCATAGACATCTACAACGTAAATGCGCCACACACCTTGAGATATAAGTTCTAAGGTCTCAGTATAGTTACAACGGCTGCCCCACCCTTCAAACCGAAACGCATTACTGCTTCACGGCAGAAATAGGCGGGGCGGTGGCACCTACCCGTGAGGACTCACAAGAGGTCCTACCACCAGTACCTAATTACGCAAATTATAATTTTGCGGGTTTGATTTTTATTACACGATGTTATTCCTTCACCGTGGAAGTCAATCGTGAACAATTGTTAAGTAACGTATTTCATTAGAAACATTGGTACCCGCCTACTGGATTCGAACACCGTTGCATCGCTCAACACGAATGCACCGGACGTCTTATCCTTTAGGCCACGACGACTGTGTAATAGTGGTCGACTATAGAAACCGAATTTCACAAAATAGGATGTGTTTTATACAGATATAAACAATACTACTGTTCTACTTATGTATCTAGCAAAGAAAATAATATATTTTCTTAGGGTCGGAATAACTTTATATCTGAAAGTTGACGCCTATAAGACTTCACGAAATTTATGTTAGCCAAAAATCTTCCTAATCCACAGACCTATTAACGTATGGATCTACCAAACAAAACAGTGAACGGTTTCAAACGAGTAACTAACCAAGCGAGTTTCATTACAGTCGTGTTATGAATATCCGACTTCGTTAGCCAGTCGAGTGAGTTCAATAAGTCAACCGATCAGGGTTTAATTGGCTGACATTTCGTTGGGACCACTGAGACGAGCTTTTTATTATTTCAAAGAGCGAACGTCCGGAGAGAAATTCCCTGTTTTTTGTTTACTGTTATTTTTTTCTTATTAATTTATTTTATATTTGTTTATGTCTACGCTTAGGCAGCGGCTTGGCTCTGCCCCTGGCATTACTGAAGTAAATGGGCGACGGTAACCACTCACCATCAGGTGGGCCGTATGCTCATCTGCCTACAAGGGCAATAAAAAAAAATAAAAAAAACGCTCATAATACGTACGCACATACGTATGTGTAATTATTTGATGTGTTATTTATATTACTATTTTTTTATTTTATTTTTATTATATTATATATCAAATGTTTTTGAGCGTAATAATTATTAATAATAGTGAAGTCGTTTTGAAGTTGATTGTATACATAGTAAATCGCATTTTGGTCCTCACGATACAGGCTATGCCTAGTGTGAGGATCATTGGTTAATATTATATTGTTGATAATCTGCATTTGTTAAATATGTAAATAGTATTCTAGGTCATGATTTAAGAGTTTATGTAGTAAATAAATAAATTATCATTATTATTATATTATTACTGTGGTTTTAAGGTTTCGTGTATTGGCTTGGTATTAAATTAGCTAAATATAAAATCTGTTTTTATTGTTTATTCAAAAAATTTAAATTTTAGTTAACATGGAACCGGGTTGACGTTATTTTTAAAGATATTTCAAGTTTATCAATACATGCTCTAGATGTTACAGAAGAATTTAAACATTAATTAAAATCTATATTTATAATGACAGGGAATACTTCAAAATGAATTAACAATAAAATACTTAATTGCGTTTTCTGTTATAAAATATGTATAATAAGAAAACAACACTTAAAGCCCTTAATCTCTTTTAAAATTAATATTTTAATCAATATTGATATATTAAACAAATCTGAACTTTCTTTTTCCTGAATAACAGACTTCATTGAATCAAACTAAGGAAAAATCCTTTTTAAAAACAAAAACAAAAAAATAATAAAGATTTTTCTTTACATGTTTACTGTAAGGTACGTATTTTACTATATACGCATATTATAAATTCAAAACAAAACTATACCTCTGCTTGTATATCAACTACCACCCAAATGAATTCGTATAGGGTACTTTACAGCGTCACGCGGAAGCGCGTTCGATGTAAATGGAAATCATTCGCAGAGATATAGATCCTTTAAATTTTACGGTCACATTTCAAATAAAATGTCGGATTGTAATTTCAATATCTCAATTATATTTTTGATGCTTTAGTGACGTGACATACACATTTTACTCAATTTTCTATTTGTATGGCGTCATTTTACAAAATAAATAAATTTGTACCAGGCTTTACAAGAGGATCTAAATTCATTAATTGTATTTAGACTCATCATCGGCGAGTTAAAGTACTTGTATATTTCCATACTCCTTAATGTGTATACTAATATGCGGTGCCTATGTCTCATCGATAAATTAATAGAGACTAATCAAGGTTTTTTTCTGCCTATTTTAGTGACCTCGAGGAGTCTTACTAGATTGACCGGGAAGCATGTGAGCTCACAGGGCCTTAACCTGGCAAATTTGCCAACACTAGCCCTAGCAAGAGCAGCTCTTCGTAGAATCTACCACCGGATCGGAAACGCGACCCACTGAGAAGATCCGGCGAGAAACTTACTGGGCTGTGTTTTAGGGGAAATCAAAGTTAGTAATCATTATCTACATCGTAAAATCGACGGATTCTGGTAACGTTTAAAAACCAGGTGGAATGTGGGTAGTTCTACCTACTTTTTTTTTTTTTTTTGTCAGGAGGAAATCGCCGGACTTCCGCCCTTCACTGGGGATGGAGGGCGGGGCATGTCGGAGTCGAACCGACTAAAACCTCCTGTCTTTCAACAACCAACGTCCAAACCTCGCATGAGACAAAACTCATGAAAAGGCAAAGGGGGAAAGTGAAGCGTTTAGTGCGGAGCACATCTCTCCCATCACCCTCCCCCTCGGGACGCCGGACTGGCGGTCGTCGGCGCCACGACCACCAGCCCTCTCGGTCGGCAAGCTATCCGAAGCCCGCCTAGATGGCGCCGGTTAGAATGGTATATCCTACGGAATACCCCGCTGGGTCAGAACCAGCGTGGGTTGAGGATAGCCGGCCTTCCATCACCCGGATGCTCATGCATAAAACGCGTGCAGAGCAGCTTGCACGTCGTCTTCTTAGGCCCCCTTCGCCGGTCCCCAGGCCGACATGTGAGGGAGACCCGAAACACTTAGAGGGCCAGGGCTTGGGCGAAATCCGCCTCCCTGGCCCCCGCTCGACGGCGGCGGGCCTGTGCGTCTCTCACGCGCCCCGCCGCCTCCTTCTNCCTTCCATCACCCGGATGCTCATGCATAAAACGCGTGCAGAGCAGCTTGCACGTCGTCTTCTTAGGCCCCCTTCGCCGGTCCCCAGGCCGACATGTGAGGGAGACCCGAAACACTTAGAGGGCCAGGGCTTGGGCGAAATCCGCCTCCCTGGCCCCCGCTCGACGGCGGCGGGCCTGTGCGTCTCTCACGCGCCCCGCCTCCTCCTTCTGCTAGATGGTGCACTCGCAGAAGTCGAGCATCGCCTTCCACGACTCGTCGTCACCGAGCATCGATGCCACAACACTCGGCAACGACAAGTCGTTTCCTATTTTTGTGACGAGGACAGGGCGCCACCCCTCCCATGCGAGGCAGGCGACGAGCGTGTGCTCCGCCGTGTCCAAGTCGCAACCACAATGGTGGCACTCTACCGTTGGCTCGGCTCCGATCCGGTGCAGGAACTCACCGAAGCAACCATGCCCAGTGAGCACCTGCGTGAGCCGGAAAGTGAGGCGTCCTCTGTCACGATTCACCCAGTTCACAAGAACCGAGCGAATCGCCTCGACGGTCCTACGACCAGCCGAAGGATCGGCCAGCCGTCTGGACCATGACTCCAGCACGGACCGCCGAGATTGGGCCCTCCGTGCTCTGACCACACTGGGGCTGGGACGTGCCACGCCCCGGGCACGAAGGTCAGCCCGCCACTGATAGTCAGAGTTCTACCTACTACATATTTAATAAAAAGGTAAGTGACTAATTATCTCATCAAATAAACATAATATTTCAGACGTGCTTCGAAAAGAATATCCATGAAATATGTTTTTTGCCTTTCTGGGTAGACGAGCACACGACACACCTGATAGTGGTTGGTTATCGTCGCTTATGGACATAAGCAATGCCAGGGCCACAGCCAAGCTGCTGCCTACCGCTAAGTAATCTCCAAAAACCTCGTTTGAAGAAAGAGATGTCATAGTCTTCAGAAAATAGCAGGGAGGGTAGTTCATTCCAAATCTAGAGATATGTGTATAGCTTTATTAAAACATATATCATAAAATAACAAATAAATAATTTGTATATAATATGTATGTGTGTATTAACGGTAATTACTCTTAGTATACTAATATGGACGCTGCTTGTTCATTTGACGGGACTACATCTCACGCTGAGCTTTCCGCCATATTTCAAGAATGATTCTCGACCTACCGTCGGTTTTTTGATCGACATGCGAAGCCTATCTCACGATATTCATTGAACTATGCTAAATCAAACAATTTAAAAAATATCGTCTGTTGGTTTTATAAATGTAATGTCAGACAAGTATTTTTAAATACAAAGTTTAATTAGAAAAACAAACTATTTAATTAATTTAAAATTTCAAATACTTATGCCACTACTAAGTTAATTATGTTTATTACCTGCGATTTCTCAGCGTAGTACACCAAGCTCGCGAAGATCACGATTCCGAGGACCAGAAAAAACACTAACAGCGTCAGTTCCTTTGCTGACGCCTTGAAGGTGTGCACCAAGATCTTCAGCCCTGGACTGTGTCTGGTCAGCTTGAACAGCCTCAGGATCTTGATGATAGAGATAAACTCCAAGATCTCTGCTTTATCAACGTACTGTCTAACTATTGTTAGCTCTACCACGACATCCATGTAAAAACTCAACGTCGCTATAAAATCTATGATATTTACTGGAGACTTCACGAATTCTATTATGTTCGGTGCTACCTGTAACAATAGAAAGATAGCTTAAAGCTTGAAGTTATACTTGACTGATGGGAGGGCGTGTTGTGAGTCAAGCCTTTCAGTCTGAAGGGGGTTTGACGTTTTACAAGGCAACAGGCACATATCACATCTTAAGTCGTCGTGGCCTAAAGGACAAGACGTCCGGTGCATTCGTGTTGAAGCGATGCACCGGTGTTCGAATCCCACAGGCGGGTACCAATTTTTCTAATGAAATACGTACTCAACAAATGTTCACGATTGACTTCCACGGTGAAGGAATAACATCGTGTAATAAAAATCAAACCTGCAAATTTATGATTTGCGTAATTACTGGTGGTAGGACCACTTGTGAGTCCGCGCGGATAGGTACCACCGCCCTGCCTATTTCTGACGTGAAGCAGTAATGCGTTTCGGTTTGAAGGGTGGGACAGCTGTTGTACTGAGACTTTAGAACTTGTATCTCAAGGTGGGTGGCGCTTCTACGTTGTAGATGTCTGTGGGCTCCAGTAACCACTTAACACCAGGTGGGCTGTGAGCTCGTCCACCCAACTAAGCAATAAAAAAAAAAACTGTTAGGGTAAGTGGTGCATTGAAGTTTAGGTGTATAGGCTCCAATAATTCCAATCTATAAGTAGTGATAGATACGGTTATGTTTCTAAAACAAAACATGTATATAGTTACCATCAACAATTTTGTTATTTAAGGTGTAGAAAGCGATATCTATTTAAACCAATAGCAACATAAAAATCACCTTATTTAGCAATCGTTATGTTTCTATGACTGTGATGTCGTATGATAGTTTATTTATTAATTAATAATATTTTTTACTGATGGTAGGACCTCTTGTGAGTCCGCGCGGGTAGGTACCACCACCCTGCCTATTTCTGCCGTGAAGTAGTATTGCGTTTCGGTTTGAAGAGTGGGGCAGCCTTTATAACTATACTGAGACCTTAGAACTTATATCTCAAGTTGGGTGGCGCATTTACGCGACCATGAGCATGAGTCCCGTAACTACTTAACACCAGGTGGGCTGTGAGCTCGTCCACCCTACCCACCTACGCCCACCCCACCCTAAAAAAAAAACCGAATCCATGGTTCATAAGGAAACTTAAGCTGATTTGTAACCATTAATAACTACCGCCACCAATCTTCATATACAATTAGACTCGAATGCATCGGAATAATAATATTCGACGCTTGAAAGGCAAACATGACTAAGCGACAATGCGTGAACGTTTACAGTAGACTAATTTAAAGTTGAAATACCTGAAAACAAAATTTATTTTAACGAATCTAGCTGTAGTAGAATCTAGCTGGTAGCTGTAGGATTGAAATGATTTTAATAGACCTAGAAATATATATATATTTTGCGCATCGAATATGGTTATTGCCTTTTTTTTATTTTTTATTGCTTAGATGAGTGGACGAGCTCACAGCCCACCTGGTGTTAAGTGGTTACTGGAGCCCATAGACATCTACAACGTAAATGCGCCACCCACCTTGAGATATAAGTTCTAAGGTCTCAATTATAGTTACAACGGCTGCCCCACCCTGCAAACCGAAACGCATTACTGCTTCACGGCAGAAATAGGCAGGGTGGTGGTACCTACCCGTGCGGACTCACAAGAGGTCCTACCACCAGTAATTACGCAAATTATAATTTTGCGGGTTTCATTTTTATTACACGATGTTATTCCTTCACCGTGGAAGTCAATCGTGAACATTTGTTGAGTACGTATTTCATTAGAAAAATTGGTACCCNATTACGCAAATTATAATTTTGCGGGTTTCATTTTTATTACACGATGTTATTCCTTCACCGTGGAAGTCAATCGTGAACATTTGTTGAGTACGTATTTCATTAGAAAAATTGGTACCCGCCTGCGGGATTCGAACACCGGTGCATCGCTTCAACACGAATGCACCGGACGTCTTATCCGTTAGGCCACGACGACTTCAAATGCCTATCATTTATGTACAAAGCAGTTATTGTCGCTTAGTCAAGTTTGCCTTTCAAGCGTCCTATATATCTATAGTCTTTCGGAGTGATATTTGCAGCTAAACACACAATCGCTTAGCATGAGAAACAATATAAGTTTTTAGCATACGTCCAGCAAAAAACCGCTTATTTTTATTGAGGACAAATAAAAACAAAACTTTCTCAATACCGCGCAAATCATTCGACAAACACGTCCACGAAGGTAAATTAATTAGTATTAATTAATTTACATGTTCAATTGCGTTCGAAATACGAAACACGCCTCATTAATTTTCGGCGAACATTATGCTATTTCGGAATATAATATATTAATATTCGCTTTCAAATGAATTAATTATCTTTTAGTAATAAAGATACAGTTTTTACTGGTGGTAGGACCTCTTGTGAGTCCGAACGGGTAGGTACCACCGCCCTGCCTATTTCTGCCGTGAAGCAGTAATGCGTTTCGGTTTGAAGAGTGGGGCAGCCTGTAACTATGCTTGAGACCATAGAACGTATATCTCAAGGTGGGTGGCGCATTTACGTTGGAGATGTCTATGGGCTCCAGTAACCACTTAACCCCAGGTGGACAGTGAGCTCGTCCAGCCATCTAAGCAATAAAAAAAGTTGTCAGTTCTTTGAGCAAAAAATAAATATTAAACACGAGAAAAGGCTAAGAAAATAAAAATTAAAAAATTAAAACTGTGATCAAAAATAATAACCAGGTATGAGGTATGTCTTTTTGCTGATTCCAGTAATAAAAAAAAATTATTTTATAAAAGAAAACATTGATCCTTTGACCTTTGTCTGTAGAAAAGGAAATAAAATGGTAAAGATGCTCAACAAATTCTGACATCATGCTCATCTAAGTCGTCAGATCAGAATTTGACGAACCGAATTTTCATGACTGCGTGGCTTAGCGTGTCACTCGCTAGTCATAAAAAGTACAAAAAAAGGCTCCGGAAACCATTTTGACGTTTTTCTGTTTCTACATATTAATAATTCAGCTCCAATTTTTCATACTACGAGAATTTCACTCTAAAATTCCACAACATGAACTTAAACAGTGCACTTTGGCTCTACCAAAAGCTCAGTAGCGTAGCCCCACAAAAGCACAATAGAGTTGTTCTCGACGATTCATTACATATTCTCTGTTTACACCTGCTCTCTGCGCGATATTAACGGAGTCGACATGCGAACCTTCAGAGATGGAGTTAAGTATTTTCCGGCGAATGGGCTAGGTTGTTTGAAAATTTTGTGACGTCAGCAGCGCTAAAGTTATTGTTAAGTTAGATTCAGATAATTTCAGGAGTTTGAATTTAAAAAACAAAACACAATTGAATATAACGAGTTTCATTTAAGTTTACGTCATGGAGTGCAATCTCTTTGACTATAACCCACAATGATTAGGAAACTTAAAATAAGACGGAGACTTGACTTTAGAGCCTTTTTTTTAATACCCTTTTATTATACTTATATATATAAATGAATTGCTGTTTGTTAGTCTCGCTAAAACTCGAGAACGGCTGGACCGATTTAACTAATTTTGGTCTTGAATTATTTGTAGAAGTCTAGAGAAGGTTTAAAAGGTAGATAAATAAGAAAAAGCTCGGAATTAAATAAAAATAACAAGTTTGTTTTTACTTTGATGTGTCCCCCGTCGGACGGATTCCTTTTGTTTGTTTTAAGTTTATTTTATACAAAAGTTTAGGTCTTTTATTTCTTGATTAAGGCACTACGAAGTCTGCCGGGTCAGCTAGTTATATATAAAAATGAAAATATTTTTAACAAGTATAAATATTTTTTATGTAAAAAGCATTATTGCCATTTGAAAAGAAAACTAAAATTATTAATATATTGCATTTTAAGCACTTCTTAATGCGTCCCTGTGAAAGTACTCGGGTGCAGTAATAACTCGCGAGTCTGCACAAAGGGAATGCATGGCGATGCTTGGGCATAGACTTTGATGAAGGTTTGAAAAGAGAATCATAATATGCACTGAAGTTGCAAATAAAACTAGGAGACTCTTATTCCTCGGATTCATTAACTTTGGATATTAAAATGTACACACGTCCTTAACCTTTGTGAACGTCTCTATAGTCTCACTGTCAATCGATTACTTCAAGTATTTTTGTTATTCAAAATAGCGAAATATTAATTAAAGGACTTGATATCAAGCAGCGTCTGCGTTTTACACAATCTTGGGTGGTCACTGTTTTCGGACACATTTTTTTTTATTGCTTAGATGTGTGGACGAGCTCACAGCCCACCTGGTATTAAGTGGTTACTGGAGCCCATACACATCTACAACGTAAATGCGCCACCCACCTTGAGATATAAGTTCTAAAATCTCAGTATAGTTACAACGGCTGCCCTACCTTTCAGACCGAAACGCATTACTGCTTCACGGCAGAAAATAGGCAGGGCGGTGGTACCTGCCCGCGCGGACTCACAAGAGGTCCTCCCACCAGTAAAACTTGACATCAACAGGGCTTGACATCAAGCAGCGTCTGCGTTTTAAACAATCTTGGGAGTTATTTGGCCACATTTTACGATGTGATAATCAGTCCTTAGTACAACCCCGTTCCGTTCACGAAATGGTGGACGGTACAAGACCAAGCAGAAGGTCACCCTTACGGGAGACCGACAGGAAGTCTATGGTGGGGCGTCCCATGAATGTAGTGGCTAGCCTCGAACAGAGAGAGAGGCATCAAATCTACAACCATCAGTAAGGATCATCATCATCATCAGCCTGTATCTATCCACTGCTGGATGTAGGCCTCTCCCATAGTCCGCCACAATGAACGATCCTCCGCCTTCCGCATCCAATCTCTCCCAGCATATCGCCGCAAATCATCGGTCCAACGGGCAGGGGGACGCCCAACGCTGCGCTTACCGGTACGCGGTCTCCAGTCAGTAAGGATGACGATCACTATATCTGGTCTGGTTGTCTGGGAGAGATCGCTCTTACCGCCAATTGCACTCTGTTTTTGTATTTAATGTTTCGCATTGCTTATTCATTTTG